GAAGTAAAATACTCACACTTATCTCAGTTTTGTTTGCGTTTCAAAACAATGACGTTGTTATCATCCGCGTACACGCAAAAACAGCATGTGGTTTATTTTCCGGGATCTCCTCTCAAATTGTGTTTACAGATAAGCCGGGGGTAGATAGGGTCAAAACTGACAGCGATTTTATATGGTTTATTTCTTAACTGGAAACTCATTAATTTCTAGATTTTTCGGCATTTCGTCCACACAATGACGTAGAGCTCGAAAAAAATTCCAGTTTTTTAAACAGAAGACAATGTCCACAACATACAGCGCACATATTCTAGCAAGCACTTTTCGAAAACTTGAATTGACTAAGATGTTCTCACTGTTTATGGCCACCACTAAAATACCTTTAACCATACGACCACTGTGAATTTTCGAAAGAAAATTTGAGTAGTATGCTTCTATGCGAAATTTTAAGGAAATTCACCAAGCCTATCTGCATGTTCCAACAAATTTATTTGAGTGAGTAGGTCCGATTTAACCGCTCAGACAGCGAAAGACCACTCGATTCCACTAGTCAGGGCAAAAGTGAACGCAAGGTTTCCCCAAAGCATTTTGTTTTCGTAATACTGACACAAGGATTGCAGCCCACGTGCATGATTTCTGTTCCAATATCACTCTGAAAATTCATGATAACGAGCCGTTCTATCAACCCATAATGTTGAGTGACCGATATCTTCCGGTGTAGTCCAACAAGCACAGGTGAATTCCTCACCGGGTTTGTGATCGATCGGACGATCTCACCAGTCAACTGCAGAATCATTGATACGATCAATAAGATGGCAATCCATGACACACAATGATCCCCGGTGACTGTGTCAGTCGATGAACACATGTTCACAATCACCAACCAGTGTTCTCTATTGAAGCCCTCAAACCTGGAATCTCATTTTACGCAAAATCCCATCCCGATCACTTGCTCCAGGGTAAATTCACCGCAACAAAGCTTCCCTCCAACAAATTAAGGTTCCTGCCCGCTATTCTGCTTACCGCGATAACCGCACTGAGTGTCAAGACTGACCTGTCTGTCGTTCAGCATTCTTGCCTATAGAGAAAATTCTCTTATCGATCATAATTGAACATAGATGGAGTGTATCAAAACATACACAACAAAATATCTTGCTTTCAATGGAAGCACATGCCAGATTAATTGAGAAAGACGTGAAAAATCGGGGTTATATTGAAGACAACTCAATGCATCTGAGCAATATCTGTCTGAACAGTTCTACACCCACTTAAACATTACATTACTTTCTTCTCAGGAGAAACAAATCTTATCTCTTCCCCTCAAAACAAATCATGTGCATGCTTACTGAGGTGGGGCATTCGGAAAATTGATGTCTACTTTTCTTGTTTGGGAGAATTTCCACCAACTGATGAAGAACCGGTCTAACAGATTGAAACATCCGTCTCCATCAGATCACCCAATAGACTAAAAAGATTGTCCCGACTGACAGGACTTTCGGTGGACTCATGAGCGGACTATACTTAATGCGTAGGTATCACAACTCAATGGATTTCACCCATAAAAGTCGAGAAACACTGTGTCATAAGCAATAGCAGCAACAATGGCGACAATGAATGAAGTTCACGAAAGCATCGTGGCAATTATATTTTGCAGAACAAATCGGTTTCAGCTAAGATCAACAGATACGGGGTTTCGCGGATTTTTGAATGGTTACTGAGGCTTCAGAACGCATGCGTACGCCCGGTAACGTAAAAATGACCTTAGCCATTATCCTCTCTTTCAGTGAACAGAAAAACACGAAAGTTCGCCCGAAGAACACGTTGCTGTGCGTTAAACACCTTACATGTTCTACGAATTCGTAAGATTACTGCCGATATTAGGCCTACTGGGAACCTAGGAGACATGTTGTTGAGTTGAAGTTAGGACAGTGTGGAAACCCAATGGGACAAACACGAAGAATAATTTGTAGATCGTCCCTGAAATGCTCCCGGAAGAGCGGGGAGTTATGTCATGTCCCTTTCATAAGCAACATTCATGAGGCCTATGACGTTGGTCTCTGTAGGTTTTGGTCACTTACTGAACAGAAAGCAGTATAGGTAATCCATTCCTAACCGAATTGTGGAGATAAAACTAGGTGATGCCACAGTTATATTGCATGGTATTCTTGACAGAAATTCATAGACTCTTGGGCCTGCTGCGAACTCTTTGGATTTGAAATAAAAACATCTCACCATGTGAAATATGAAAACATGTGACAGTGGATTGCATTTGATTCAGAGAGACACATAAACAATTGATAACTTCACTACTTGCATACGGCACTTTATCAGAATAACGAGCATTCACACTTTTGAGACCTGGTTTCTGTTGCTCCAAGCAAAAGTTCGGACTGGAAACTTTGTAGTAAAAGTCCCAATGAGATTGTGATCCGATTTGAAGCAAGTGTGTTGAGGTTACATCAGTCAAACAGGAATTTTGTGGACACTTTGAAAAATGACTGGGTGGACATTTGTCATTCACACACACTAATACTAGCAGTAATAATAGTAATAATACTAATCATTCGGCTGTAACGCCTATCTGGAATGCCACCTGAAGGAAGCAACAGAGCTGAGCTACATCCAATTTGCCCTAGCTGAAACAGGAACAGTCGAGATACCAGGGTCGGTTTAGAACCATGAATCTTCCGGTCAGCATGTTCGCGCCCTAACTACTGAGCCATCAGGACGCTTTCAAATACTGGTCCTCTAAACACACTTAATGTTTGTATTCGAAATATTTATCTAAATCAAATCCATCGTTACCCAAATATGACTTTCTGATCACCGGATTAGTGTAGAGTAGTAATATTCAGTTTGACCGTATCGTGAATTAGGACCTAACCTTGTGTACTTCAGAGCTATTTAAATGATTTCAAAAATGGCAGTTCCCTTCAGCATCTCCTTGGAAAGATGCTCATTCAATAATGTAGCCTGATATCATTCGCGGTGTTCCAGCCAGCAGCTGTTAACAGTCTGGTGCTTTGAGAAGCACGAAAACAATCTTAGATGTCCGTGGTAATCCTAAATTTCAGGGTTTGACTAGTCTGATGGTGACCGAGCCATGAAAGCAGCTGACTGTTAGAACATATTGATAACAGTCTGTCTTCAGTTTTCTTGACATAATAGCGCATCGCTCATGAGTTTGTTGAGACATCAACGGTAGCTCACTAATGGTTCCATCCTTCTTGGTATTTGTTAGGTAGGTTGAGACCGGCCGTCTCCATCAGCTCCATGCTTCACTTGAACACCACATTATACGCAACCGGTGTAACAAGACCATTCAAAAGGTCTATTCACCGTTGACGGGGAGACTCACATGGATCCCACCTAGATATCTCCTTTTTGGTATTCTTCTGTTGAAGAAAAGGAGGTGAACAATGCTACTGAAGAGAGGCGAAGCTACAATTGACTTGAGCTTTTGGTCAAAACCCAGTTTTTCAAGCTTTCAAACTAAAGTCATGGGGTTAGTGGAGCAGCTCATCTTTTTATAAATACCGATGGCTTCTGGTTAAGCTTTTGGTAAAACCCAGTTTTTCAAGCTTTCAAACTAAAGTCATGGGGTTAGTGGAGCAGCTCATCTTTTTATAAATACCGATGGCTTCTGGTTAGCAACAGTCTGATTAACCCGAAGCGTCACCATTACAATGAGACAACAGCTTGGAAAACGTCTAGAATATGGGCCGATCTGCCAATGCTATCGCATGTTTCTCCAAAGTGCCCATTGCGGAAATTATCTGTTTTGGGCACAGTTTCAAGTGGGTTGTGTTCCGGTGCGCTAGGTAAGCAACACTTGAACACTCGGTTATTTTTATTCAAATGCCAAGGAACTTAACACTTACCTATCTGTCTGAATTGTTCTGGTCACTGACAGGAATGTTTTGTTGATGAGCCTTGAAGGAGCTTATTTGTTCAGACCTAAGAGGATAGAAAGATAGAAAGATAGCTTCCGTGTTGCTTTGCACACACGGTTTTTGTGAACCTAAATTTTCTGACCTAGTATTGTAAGTGAAACCAGTTCATGCTGAAAAACCGAGAAGCACCTTATAACTCTTTCACCCTTACCGAAAATTATGCGCACCCGGCCTCCCACAAAACTCCACAACCCTCCGGCTAGTAGTGTAAACGACTGAGCGTTCGGCAACGAGTGGCTGATCGGCACCGTGGTTAACTCGCACTTAGATATGATACAGTGCCACTCATCCTTCAACCACGGTAGCCATATCACGTGGTCACCCACTGACTGACTCATCGGGTAACGCTTTCCCAACTGGGAGTTTAAATGATCATATGATGTTATGCTCCCTTGGATTTACTAATTGATCGATTGAGCGAATATCCGGACCATTGGTTGTAGGAAAAGAGCGTGCTCTTATTGAAACTTGTTAACAATGCAAACTAAAACCGTTTGACGATTTGTCCAAATATGTGATGGCTACAATAGGTACACTCGCAAGTATATATTTACAGGTCCCTTACAATGAGGAAGTTTTAGCATCTACTGAAGATCATCGCTTGTATGCAGAAAATAATCTATCTAAATACAATATGTTCTGTCCAGGAACAATCAATATTCAGAATAAATCTCTGTCCCTTAGAGCCAATAGGGACCCTCAGACAGTTTTTTTATGGCATGTGATTGCGTTAGAATACACTTATTTACAGTTCAACTTGGTTGTCACAGGAGACTAAACTGAGTCTCTCACAGAGTCGGGAACTCGGGGACTGTGTCAACTAGATGATTCCCAAGAAAGCGAAACAGGTCGTGGACTGTCGAAAAGTTTTCAGCAACCTTGTGAGTAAGTCCCCTTATTGCTTAGGGCATTTATCGTCTTACAATGTAGCTTAAATCTAGCCTTGGTTATCTGAAAAACAGTCTGTCAATCAGTCAAAAGTCTGGTGCATTCCGTTTCCACGCACCTACATTCCTTTTGGCACTAAATACGCATTCGCTGAATGTCAGCATGTCCAAACTCAACGTTGAAATAACAGACATGACTGCATCAACCATTTGGTGGTATGATAGTGCTGTGCTCGACTGGCTGCTTGGGGGATTTTTTTATTGGAACGGTTGTTCTTCTCCAAAAACTTCAGTGTCTACAACAACTGCTGTACGAGTGAAGTGTTCAAAACGCTAATCTACCATATCCGTTCATGTAAAATGACTGTGCTGGGATATGGGAAATTCAGTCCAGTTTATGCTTTGGAATCAAGGAACCGACAAGACACGGTTACAGTCCTGCCTCAAAACTGATCTATCTACTGACTCTATTTCCAACAAGGCAATGTGACATGAAGCAAGCCAAAATATCTTGTCAATTAAAAGGAACTCGTTGCCTACTGCCCGGGGCAACAATCGTTTCAGAACAGTAGCCGATCCCCAGTATTTTCACGTAGATAACACGTAGATAACATGTCTTTCATGATTAAACGGAATAAGTTGAGTAAGTTTTGCTGGTTTCTCACAATTGTGAATGGGCGCATAAGCTTTGTTGTTGACTTGATGTGTATTTCCAGCACACGGGGTTAGTAGAAAGCATTCATTAGAGTGCAGCGAATACAAACAGATGAAAGAGCAATCTCAGGCTACTTTCGTTGGCTTATTCTAAAAAAGTACAAGCCGAAATTACTTTGTTACCGTATCTGCGCACAGTAGAAGAACGAAGATCTTATCAAGAATGTAGATTCATCAGAAAAGCGACAACTGCGTAAGGTAATGAACAGCAGGACTCAACAAGAAGTGGAGTAGGACAGCGATCAACCAATGAAACACAAAGAAAGCTGAGATCGTTAGAATAGTGCTAGATGTGGACAACTTAGGCGTAATTTGTAGGAGAAAAACCACAGCTGTCGGCGTTGGTGCGTTAGAAAGATTGCTTCCTCGGTTCGTGAAACCATGGAAGATGAGATGTGCAACACTGGAATGGTCAAAAAAAGCAGGGTACTGCAAAGAAGCTAAGAATAAACGGACCACTAAGAAGGGCAGCTGGATATCAGACATTAGGTAGTCTCAATATTTGCGGGATTTCCTTTAATCACTGGGGGAAAACATGTTTTAAGGCGAGGATTCAGTGCACAAAGAACAGTGGCTGATGAGACGGAATCTGCTCATTCCAGTTTTAATACAATGTGGAGCGTTGAACTAGGTGATGTTGGTGCCTTATCCTTGAAGGTGAGTCGTCATGGAATAAATTTGGATCTAAAGTACGGTGCAGAAAAACTGTTCTCTAGCCGAATTATCGTTCTACTTACTAGTCTATACAAACGAAATATGTCTCTGAAGCACCTTAGGAGAAAACCAATCATTTAATGAACTGCTTCGAACAAAAACAGCAACTTCTTGCACCCGGACCAGCATGGTGTCATGTGCTCAATTAAGGCCGTTGGCCGTTATACGTAGTCGCTCTTGGTAACCTGAAGGCAATGTGCAGCTAAAATATGAAACCGATTCAGTCTGTCTCAATACTCGACCATCATAGTCACTTCCTCGTTGGCATATTGTATCAAAAGCAAACCGCCCCCTGAAGTATGCCCTCTGATTTGAGGTAAATTTTTGGTCCAACGGTCTCTAGATAAATTCAACCAATCTGATGATTGATAAGTAGTAAGAAAGTTTCGTCCAGCGGGTTGTTCGCCAACTAGAAGCAACCAATAAAAAGAGGCCCTCGGTTTGGGATCTTTGCCAGCCACACTGCCAAGGAGACGTTTAGCATCCGGTCACATACTGACACTGAATTTACAAAAAGTCTGAACACCTCAGTCCCATTCAGGCTCATCAGCTGTTCGGCATTCGTATGAGTCAAGATGCTGATGGAGATTTCGCTTTGTCGGCGAGACCAATCTAAGCTGGGAAGTCGAGAATCAATGTACCTTTTTTCACCCTTATTAGGAATCATCAGGAAACTCCACTTGGGTCTCGAACCCAAAACTTCTAGGCTCTCAATTAGACAAGATATAGCGTCACTCATCCTTCAATCACGGGATCAGCATCAAGTGGTCACGTGTTGGTTGGTTCCTCGAGTGATGACTCCTCAGATGTAAGTGTCATTTGTTGAGTACAGTGCTTGTCGACTTTTCAGCATATAGTGACTTCACTTAAGGGACGAAATATCCAGTAAAATTCCCCAAATTCCCCACACCGCAAGGAATCACTATGTCAGGTTCATACTAAACTGAACACCATCATAATCAATCATCATAACCGTCGTACGTGTCGTGTATTAGTGTAGTGTTAAGGGGTCTTAGTTAGCTTTGATAAACTTCATATAGAGAACAGAATAACCAAAAATCACGTAGGTGGTAGCATGCGTCCCCGCGCCTAAGGGATTTTAATTATGTCACTTATGAGAAAGGTTACCTGGGTGATTTGTCATATTTTTAATTTTTCTGTTCACCTGTCTGACACAGCTGAACCCATTTGTCACTTTTTTTCTAAATTTTTGACTGTCTGTATACGAACGGATATTTTGCTTTTAACCAGTTAAATAATAATCAGAAAGACCTACAGATCCTGTGCTGTGCATCTTGATCCAAACTTTTGTCACTCAGGTGTCGAATTTAGATTTTGGAAAACATTTTAGTGGCAACACTTTGGAAAGTAGTTCACGCCGTAATATCTGGCGGTGAGTGAAGCGTCTTTGCACGGTCATCAATCAGTAACGGTGCCACATAAAACCAACCCCGAGCCATTGACATTAGGGGAAGACAACTGCTTTCAATCGATTTTTCTCACGTAGCACATCTCAGAGTGATGGTTCTTGTACATGTTCGTAACGCTTAAGGACTCATTGTAGTGATACGATAGTGTGTGCGTTGATACGCCTCACGCCAAAACTGAGGTGAGCTTTTGTGCGGCCTCTGCAGACACAGATAACGTCTTGCGGTCTGGACCGGGCTTCCAGTGTCTCAAGGCCCTAGGGGCCCTATGTTAGGATGGTATAAAAATTGGTGCTTGTTCTGCGTGCGATCCTGGTGTCTACGATATGCTAAAGGCGACCAGTACAGAAGCAACCATGGTACGACCGGTGCCTATTATGTCGAAGTCAAGTGAATCGTTGCCAAGTAAGCTGGTTTTATAGCATATTATCTTATGGGTTCGCAGAATATATCGTCAGATGAACGTAGCATGACCAGACATGACGAGTACTTTTCCGGTCGTGAGTGTGGTTCCTCCGCGGAATTTGTGTTCAAACTGTGAGAATTCCAACGGGGAACGGGCACATGCTATGCCCGCCCATACAGTTTATCTGCGGCGAAATATGAACAGAGTATGGGTGAAGTGCTCTTACCATCCGTCTGTTATGCGTTCATGGTATACAACTGCGTGCATGCACGTTCACACCGGAACGCTAATGAAAAGGGTCGTCGGTAAGTTGATAATTGTTTGCATAGTCATTCAGTTAACTTATGTTTAGGTACGCTGACTTTGACTACCAGTCATCCATGCGTATAGTTCACCGTGACGGTCTTCTGATAATCATCAGTTTGGTTTGACTGGCAAACGTGCATCTGACTGCCCAACAGACTTGTTAGCGTCTCACTTGTGCGTGACGACCGGAAGGTGCAACCTTGCAATCTTATTTAGGGTTTTTGGGCCGGCTAACGCCATAGGCCCAGGAACGGGCTCGTTGCGACCATAGGAAAAGTGTACAGTTGGCCTACAGCACACAATCGTACCTTGTTTTTCAGGGTGACAGTCAGATACCCTTTGGAGAACCCACGAAGTGTTTGTGTTCTTTTACGAGCTCATGGTTGTTGCCATATCGCCATATGGCCCTTGCTACTGCGTACCACGGACAGTCGCTGCTTCCGTTGGTTGAGTCCAGTAGGTGGCTGTTACCACTGAAGAATGTTCAAGCATCAGCTACCGTTGCTGAGAGTAATGTATCAGTACAGGCTGCCCCCAAAGGCAAGTCATCCAAACTAAGTGTTGCTCAAAGCATCTCATCGGATATTTGTGAGGCACCTGTTCGCCTGGGTTCGTCTGATTTTGATTCTTGCTGTCGCTTCTTGCAAACTTTTACTAACCATGTTTGCAAGATCGTTTGTGCCAAGCTGCGTGTTACCAACTGTAAGGTGTCACAGGCGCATCCAGGGTGGAAATGCTGACCGCGGCATCCATATCTTTAGCAGCCTCTGGTGACGGGATATCCTCGCTAGCCGTAGAATTGCCTGTGAGGTGCAACGTTCACCCAACATCTGCAACGCCATCACACGCAGGCAAAGTATAGCACTGTTACAATGCACCGTAAGAAAGAGCCAATGGCGTCACCTATTGACAGTGATGTCTGTGGTGTCTGTAGTTCATCTGAGAATGCCTGTGAGGGGTTGATAATAGACTGGGTACAATGTGACCATTGTCACGTGTGACTGCATTGCAGTTGCATTAACAGCTCGTTCGACAGGCCGGCGTTCTTCTTCTATATGTGCAATCGGTATAACGGGATCTCGGAGTAAGTTCCTCAGGTAAGTTCCGAAGGTAAGTTTTGTTCATTAATTTCAGTTCATATTTGTTTTCTGCCTTGTCCCGTTGGGTGTGTGGGTGGAAGGTGGGTTTTTTCTGCCGTAAACTCCATCCACTCCTCAACGTGGTGCAGTAGTGGCAACCAGTGTGCGTCTTTCACGCAGGCTGGGCTAATTGAGCTATGGTCATTTCCATTTCGTATTGATTTTCCAGGTACAACTGCGGAACGTATTTTTGATGATTCTATAATTTGCTTGCAATCGGTTTCATATATCCTGGCAACGCAAGCATTACGGCAACCAAGGCATCCAAGTTTTGCAGTGAAAACAAGCTTGCGTAGGTGAGAAAAAGGGGCGCAATGCTCCAGTTTCGTATACCCTTAGAGTGGTCCCGATACGTCAGGTCAACTTAGGATCGCCCCTAGCAGTGATTAACACAGCACAGGTTTAGAAATGTATGCAGAAGCCCCCGACCTACATGTGGCTGAGGCACTCACTCGGGCGCCCCGCCTCGAGCGTGTTACTCGTGAAGCGGAATAATTCGTTACACACTCATCAAAAATAAAGTTATTCAAGCCGGATTGCAATCGAACAAGTACCGAAGATTTTAGGATACAAGTGCACCATAGACTTGAGATACAATCTCTACATACATCTCGTCGCCGGTTGTTACTTATATGGCATGTAGAACCGCCAATTCGTGGAAGCCACCCTTGCGTTGTCGTCAACCACGTAACAAGCAGGCCATGAAAACAAGAGACGCTGATTCTCCGAAGACGGCGGTTTGCGGCAATCTATGTAGACGAAAACTGGAAAGAATGCTTACCAGCGGAAACTGAGTTAGTAAGGTTCCGCATCAACAACAACGATGTTCACCACATGCCTCAACAATTGCTCCCATTCTTCGAGGTTTTCAAACGGTAGGTAAATCTCACTTTA